CAATTATGGCTTTATACAATCATGTTGTTTAGATTCTGAGTGATGATATTTTATTAATAAATAATGATGCATTTGCTAACTGAAGGTTTTATTTGGAGACTGTGTAAAGCTGCATTTGGCAATTAGAATTAATTTCAATGTTTTCCTCTTTAAAAATGCTTACATTTAGCTAATGAAAAATAACCTTACTATGTCAAACTGCAAGGGGAAAAATAACTATGCCAAAAATATAATTTTGACATGTCAATATATATAAAAATATAATTCTGCCTTATTGAAGAAGGTATTAATTGTAATTACTGGTTTTATTGTGCCATCACCATAGATAAAATTTTAAAAGAATCTTGTTTATCTAAGATACGGATAGATATGTAATGACATACTGGAAGTTATCTAGGTGGAGTAAGGATTTAGGTCCTGTTGAAGTGAATGCTGATTAAACATACCATCTTACATGCATGTGAAAATTCCAGTATGCATCTTTCTGTGTCCAAAAGACTGTGAATATGTTGTGGGGTTTGTTGTTTGTTTGTTTGTTTTAAAAAAAAAAAAGGCCTCACGGGTTTGAACATTTCAGAATCCATTAATTTTATCATACTAGTTTTCTTCTTTTGGAAATAAGTTAGACACCTACCATAGTTTTGCTTTTTAATCTTTGTATTCATTAGTTGGACACTTCTCTGCACCTGCTTCTTCAGTGTAACCCAAGGAATCAAGAGAAAGTTGTTCTTACAACAGAAGCATTGAGTAGTAATAATATACAGGCATGAAAATGTTGGATGGTACGTTAAGGTATTTCTGTCTATTCAGACTCAATAGCTGTTGAGCTGTAATTGTAATAGCTCTGGGCTGTATTTTTGTAGGTACCTAGGAGGTATTGAGTAATAAATAACAAATTACTTCTGTTTGGACAACAGTGCCAAGGGCCTTCAGTCAGGGGTTGGGCCTTGTTTGGCTGAGCATTCTAAAAACAATCCTTGGACGGATGCTTTGGTGGGGCAGTTTTGTATGTGGGACAATGTAAAAAGAAGTGTAAGGGTGATGATCAAGGGATGAAACACATGTAAAATCATGGACCAACTGCGGGGGAGACTTTGTGTCTCCAGACTGGATGAGGAGAGAATCAGCAGATCTTGAAAATAACCTGCGGCAGAGAAGAAAGTTGGAAGCACTTTTCCCCCCTTTTTATTAATTCCTAGAGGGATTTTTTCTGTTGTGATGTAAAGCTTGTGTAGAACCTTGTTTATAGCAACTACAGTACCTCTCTGTCACAGGCAGCACACAGTATTACTCTCTTTTAGAAAGCCAGCTTGTGTAGGCTCTTGAAATTGAAAGGTCCCGGTTACTTCCAGCTCTGAGCCCTGACGATGGCCTGGGCGCTGTAAAGGGCTGTTGACCTTTCCTTGAGCAGAGGGCATCTGAACTCCGCAAATCTGAGTACTGTTTATTATTCAAAGTGACTGGTATAAATATCAACGAATCAGAGACATGAAGTACTGCTTTCACTTCTTGTGATGATGGCACAAAAAAGTCTCTGTTTCTTCAGAGATTCCCATTACTTTCTGCCTGTGCCATTTCTGATTAGAGTTTTCTCTTGGAGTTTTTTTGAGTTACAAAATCAACCTCTACAATGTAGAACTAGCTAAAGGAAAAATAAGATTTGCTTAGAGAGTTTACAGCATAAAGACATCCTGAACAGACAGAAGCTGGAAGCCTTAACAGTCTTAGGGGAGATAAGTGGTTTGCCAAAAAAAACCACAAAAACAAAACAACCCCCCCCAAACCCCCAGAATTTTCAGCAAACCAAACATGAGGAAAAGTAATAAACAAAATTTGTACTGAGCTGCAAAATAAAGAAGCCTGCACACATTAGAGGCTTTTAGAACTGTGTTAGAAGCAAATGTCACAAATGTATTGGTCTTTCATGTAAAAGAGCTAGTGAGAGAGAGGCAATAGCAGGAAAGATCCTGCCTTCACCTAGCAGGATGCCAAGTTTTCTTAAACACCTCTGCAGCATTTGAAAGTGTACAAAGAACGGATAGATTGCCTTAGATTCCTGTAATTCCTTAGGAGCTTACTGTTTTCATCATCTTCTGTAGAATGGGTGTTTTCCTACTGATATTTCTTATTATTTACTCAAATGATTATATAGCAGTTTTTCTAATTGATTCAGATTCCAAATTCCCTATCATAATTTTTTTTTCCTTTTTAAAGTTCATGTGCCTGTTTATAAAGAAGATATAGGGAGAAGGCATTCTGCTTAGGTTTTAAACTAACACGCCAAGTCTGAAGGTGTGAGCCATATGTCACTTAGGTACCCCTCCATGTTTCTGCAGGGTTGATGTGTTGTTCAAGCCCATCTCCAGCCATAAAGCAAGAGACCTAACATTATTCTGCAGATAAATGTTGTCTGTACATCTACTGCTAAATTGGTAAAGGCCAGAACTGGTAGCTATGAGATTTTGTTTACAGTTAGGAAGCAAAGGAAAATATGCAGTGAAGGACTAGGATAATTTGTATTGATTTCTGGGAAATCTTAGAGGAGGGCTTTTTCTGGGTTTTTTTAGGGTTTTTTGTTTTTAGTGGTTTGGGGTTTGGTTTTTTTTTTTCCTGAAGGGTTTAGTACAGAGAGCAAGCATATGCTGACAGCTGATAAACTGGAGGTCAGTTTTCTTGGATGGGTGATGGTGCAAGGTCGCTGAAGGATGTTGCTGTGTGATAGGCATGCCTGCTTCTTCTCCCTGTGGTCTGTAGTATAATGCTTAATAGAGCAAGAATTGCAAACAATGAAATGAAATGTTCTGGGCCTTAGAATTTTAATGAAGTCATCTGGGAAGGAGATCTACAAAATGGACACTCACAACATATGACATCTGACCATCATTCTGAGAGAGTTAATGAGTCAGAGGGTATTATGTCTTCCTTCTCTAGATCGCTTGTTTGAGCTCAGCCCTCAGCTGTAGTGACGAAATGTCACCATCTTTTTGATGCTCTGCATGAAACGAGTCTAATTTTCTCTCTGTTGGTTCTTTGGAAGCAAAGCTCATTGCCCCAGTGCTGCTACCCAAGGCAGGTGTCTTCATACCATCCCAGCCTCTGAGACACCAGTGAAGGACTGACTTTTGGGAGACTCTCCCTTGAAAACGCTGTGTCCTCAAAACATGAAGTACATGTTTTGTACCCATGCAAGAGCGGTTCCTTCACTAGTGCTAAATAGCTTATATTCTTAGAAAAGTATAACAGCAGGCAAACAGCTAGTATTCGCTCTAGTTCTGTCACCTGGAAAATCTCAGCTACACTTTTTTCCATACAGAATAGGGCAGATGTGACATAATGTGTTTCTGGTCCTATCAACAGGCTTATATCTGCAAAATTTGGTTTCCTTTGGTCTTGAAAAGAACAGCTTGTATCCGTAGCAAGTGGGGAAAATAGTCTGGCATATTTGTGAAAAAAAGTATTATCAATATTCAAAGAACTCGCATGTTTAATCAGTATAAAATATACAAATCTGCACAGAAAAAAGGAAGATTTTTGAAAATTAATCAGAGAATCTTGTCTCAAAAATTAAGAACATTTTAACTTTACTAAGGTTAGGTGCATGCAGCCAAACCACCTTTATATATTCCATGTCCTTGTCCATTTTTGTAGTCTCACTCTGATACCTGCCAGTCACTGACAATCACTTTCCTGCAGGGAAAAAACACTGACCCTGAGAGTTATGTGATTTTTGGATTGGAAGTACTGTTCACTTGCTCTGGAAATGCTGACTCACTTGACAGCTCAAAAAAAAATCCAAACCAGAAAAGCCCTCTAGCACCTTTATGTAAGAACATCTGCTAGGCTGATAGAAATTAGCCTTCATTGCATTGATTTATTTACTTGCCAATACTATACGGTGCTCTTACTGTTCTTCAGAGCATGGTCTGCTCTGTTGCTCTGTAGGATGGAGTTAGCAGTCTGCCCATGCAAAAGCCAGCCTGGTGGGCAGAATTCCAGAAACATATGGTGGGTAATTCAGGGGTTGCACAGAATTTCAGTACTTTCTAATCATCAGCGCTTAGGCTGATAAGGATTTGAGGGATAGATGTACAGAGAGAAATAAAAGAAATCATGGTCCAAGAAGTGGAGGCTGGGAGGGGAGAAGTCACAAGGAATCTATAAGCATGTAATCAGGACACCTTTCTGGAAAACAAAGATTTGTGGTCCGTATGCATTTTGCAATACAGAATCACAAACTAAAAATGCATAACTTCGTTAGGATTATTATAATCCTGGAATAAAGCTCTCTTACTGGGTAATTCCGTGGCCATTCTGGCATGGTAACATAGCTGAATGTGATGGATGGAGATTTCCACTGCCTCATTCAGCCCATATCCTAGTGTGTTTGGACAGATAAAGAATCTATGTCTAGGAAGCTCCTGAGGAAGATACCTGCTTGCTGGACCTTTATAAACTACAGGTGCAACGTTAGTCCCAGCACACTTCCCATTCTACATGCTGAATCAAATACCATGGCTGTTGCCCACTGGGCTGAACTCGGTTCTGTTACTGCCATCTGTGAGAGCTGATGGTGCCATGTATATGATCTCAGATGTTATAAGACATAAACTAGGTGCTGGGATGCGCAGGCAGGATACGAACACTTCAGGGCACACACCTTAGTAGGACTTTAGGCGTGGGGGCTGGCCACAAAAGCTCAGGTACTTACTGATTTTTGGTGGTTGGGTGGAGTTTTTGTTCAACTCAGTTTTTGCATTTCAGAGTCTTTGTTTCCTGTCCAAAGCCACTTGACTCCTTGTTGGTGTGGAGTAGCCTGCTCTAGTCCTACTTCAGGTCATTTCTTTTTTTTTTTTTTTTTTTTTTTTTTTAAAAAAAAGGTATTATATAGTCTATAACACTTTGAACCCGAGAGCTACCTATGCTTATTTCACTGTTGTGACATATCATTTGAGCTTCAGGAAGGTCCTACTGGCCAATCTCATCCATTTTTTTTCTTGCAGGCTCTGATACTTCACCAGCTTGGGCGCTATAGCTTGGCAGAGAAGATTCTCAGAGATGCCGTCCAGGTGAACTCCACGGCCCATGAGGTCTGGAACGGCCTGGGAGAGGTGCTGCAGGCTCAAGGCAATGATGATGCGGCAACCGAATGCTTCCTGACAGCACTGGAGCTTGAAGCTAGCAGTCCCGTGGTCCCTTTTACCATCATTCCCAGAGTCCTTTGAGAGGGCATCTTGATCAACCAATTTTGGTCTGAATTCTGGGTGGGGAAACCCAGCATATCAGGCTGCCTGGTGACTGGTTAGTTTGAAAAACTTGAGCTACAGGTAACAAATTCCAGTCTTTTGCAGGAAAGTGGCCAAAACAGTGACGTGATGCAATATATTAATGTTAGACTGGGAGGACAAAATGGCTAGCCAGAACCAAATCACTCATATCGCCTACATTTTTGCCCTGGTAGTTTTAAAACATCGTTATAATTGTTCATGGATGATGTGCCATATTTTGTTAGTGATACTTGAGTGTTACATAAAATTATAATGGAATCAACTACCAATTGTAGAATAAGTTAAAATTCAGTGGCAGAGCAGACTATTTTTAACAAGGCTGTTAATAAAACTGTTCTCTTCCTGCCTCTCAACCTCTTTTGGCCCAAAGTCAAAATGTGAATTTTCTGTTTCCATCTCTATTTTAGTCCAGGCCAGAAAATCAGTTGAGTTCTTGTTTAGTTGTTAATAACTGTGATGTGTGGCTAACTGTTATCTCTATTTAGAGCAAAGGCTGAGTACAAGAATATTTATATTTTACCAATGTATGCCTGTTACAAAAAATATATTAGTTATTTAAGTTTAACTTTTTTATGTGAATTCAGAGTTTATTTATCAATGGAAATATGTAAAAAGAAGCCTCAAATGGAATATTTACCGACATTCCTTATACATGACCCACACTTGGCTAAATGGGAAGATTATGTTAATAATAAAATGATTTTTAAATGGAACCTTTCCTGTGTCCTGTTTAAGAACCCAGGGGGAAATAGATGGCTTGTGAACACATTTTTATGATGTGGGGCCTGTGGCTGGCTGGCCTCAAAGATCAATGACACCAAAATTAAATGCCCTGAGGCCGGTCTAGAGGAAAGAAGCTGCTATACTCTTTGCCAACGGTATTGTTATCTTAGATTTCAGGTTTCCTTAAATCTTCACTTCTTCTCCATGTTTATTCCTTCCACTCCAGCTCTTGATGAAGCCAGATTACTCTGCCTGTACATAATACAAGGACATTTACGTATGTAAAATGCACTTTGCATCCCTTGAAGGAAAAGTTGGCTGGTAACATATTACTGCCATATCAGTAGTAATAGGGCCAAATGTTTAGTAGACAAATACTTACCAGAGTTTCTCTGGCATGCATGGAGAAAATCCATTCGTTACAATGCATATTCAGGGGACATGAGCTGGGGTAGTCTAGTGCCTGCTCATTTACAATGTTGGGCTCACATGGAGCCTGGGAGGAATTCCAGGTTCCCCATTAGACTGGATGTTCCTTGGTATTTGCTTGATTTGTTGCAAGAAGCAGTTTTAAAGTGCTTAGCACAAGATAGATGCTTCAGAAAAATAATGGCAAATGTTTTGCTTTGTCGCTCACCAGAGAGTTTACTCACCTCAAACGTGTAGAGGTTCCTTACTGTGAAAAAGGCTCTGCGCACTCCAGTGAGAATCTCTAAATGGCAGAAGACGTAAGCTTGGGGCACCTCTTCGGTTTTGCCTCTCTTGTTTTTCCCCCTGGCATTTCATATGCCTTTTAGACTGAGGCTACTTTCAGATTGTATCTGCTTAGTGCTTAGACCATATGTTCCCTGTAAAATGGACCAAAAGGCTGTAATGGGTAGTGTTTTCAAATCTATTTAAAAGCCAGTAGAAATTGTGTCATCTTGCTCACTGTGAAAACATCAAAGTTTTCTTTCCCCTTTTAAAGTGCCTGTTTTGCCTGTTTTCTTCCTACTGTCCTTGGCTTTTTTTTTTCCTCTTTTCTATTTGCCAACTGTTCTCTCTTTTCTAGTCCCAGCTCATAATACATGCTCTGGCCCTGCTGTCTGTTAGCACCCACTATATGGTACCTGGTGCATGAAAAGATACTGCAAAATCTTTATTTGTTTAATTCAGTTCTTCCTGAGCCTTTCTGCTATCACAGTTCAGTAACTTAAATTTGTAATACCTTTCACAGACGTGCTCCTTCACAACATTTATTCACCTTTTATTATAATATCAAAGCTTTTCTAACAAGGCAGTTTGCACCTAGATCTGAGACTGGTGGTCTTTCTCAAGAGAGCTTCAGATGTAAGTGGAGAATAAGAGAATTCTGTAATAGCAGAATTTATCTTTGATTCTTCTCGTTTAATGTAAAGTCCTGGCCTCTTTTGATAAACTCCCAAAATGGAAAGGTTAGCAGTCTAATTGTGTCGTATCTTTTATTAGTGGAGAAGTTGTCACCACTGTTGTGGATATCAAGTGAACCTGAATATCTGTTTAATTTTTCTTACACTGGAATAGTTTTCACTGTAAATCCACAAGCTTCTGTGTCTTGGGAATAGCCTCAGCTACCTATTTTTAAAAATGGATTATCACTGTAAGACTGTACATTCAGGAATTTTCAGGCAGAAGTGGAAATCCTTGCAGCATATGAATTAAACAGCAACACTTGGTTAAACATAGTTTTCAACTTAAAAAGTTACTAGGTTTTACAGCTGTAATTTTTTTTGGTTTTAAATGGAGTAAGAAGGCCAAGAATATTTTTATATCTGTTTTAGTTGATACACAGAAATATCTGCCTTTTGCAATCTGCTCTGAGACTGCTCTGATATCTCGGTCACAGGAGTGAAGCAAGCACTGCCAGTGTGAACAGCCAGTCCCAGGGAAGTATTCCCCTTGGTGCCAGGGGGTCAGTGTCATCTGCGTGAGGGTTGCTACTGGACTTTGCGGCTGACCAAATCTCTATGTGGATACACAGATCTATGTGTGCTCTTGCTCCTCCAGCCTGTGTCAGAAATAATAGCTGTTCAGATGAATGGTGAGATAGGTCAGGGGCTGATCCAGCTGAAAACTAAGCAAACCCCTTCACCCCTTGCCCCAGGGTTTTACTAAGCTTTGGGTAGAAGCCTGGTAGAGGGTTCAGGTAGTTCTTTCATCTCATTTAGTGCACAAGTAGTAACACTAACATGCAGAAGAGGAGACAGGACTTCCCCTCTGCACAGAAGCCCCTTCTTGCACCAGTTTAAAATGGTTATTAAATTGCATTGTCAAGCACTCTAACTGTATCACTGTAATGACAAGTGGCACAAGCTTGAGATCTCCAAGTTTTCAACAGGGATCAAATACACTTCTCTCATCCATAAGACTGGAATAGCAGGTTTCAGAGGAGACTTCCCTTACTCTGCAGTGTGCTTGTGCTACTCAAAACTGAATGTTAATAGTGTATTAAGCATGTGCTAGAGTGTAGCAACAATCTCTGTTGCACATGATAAAAGGTCTGACTCTGCAGTGCTTACAATAAGAAAACTTACCATTCAAGCAATTGGTTAAAGTTCATCTCTAATTTTGGTGCAGATAACCATTTTTACTCCACGAATTATTTAATTTCTTTTTTTTTGCTTTCATGATTGATAGAGAATCCCAGGAACAAGAGAACCAGTCCAAGCAGAACTAATCCAACCGTATCTTTGAAAACTTTTGTCATTAATTATATGCATTTTAAACATCAAAGGCTATTTTTAAAAATGCTATAATTTTCCTTGAAAATCTTTTTTTTTTCCTGAGTAGACTATTCTACTCTGGAATGATAGTATAAGGCTGGGTATATCGGAGTTCCAGATTTACCTCACTAATTCTTTGTTTGTTCAGTTGTCAGTTAAAATGACATTTTTCTTAACCGTCAATCTGGCAATCATCATGTCTCTCCTTTAGCATCAAGTTAAAAACCTTGTATGCTAAAATATGCTTTCAGCAAGTACATTTCTCCAGCATTTCCTCTATTTAACCTCATCATCTCCAGACTACCTTCTCTGATCCCACCGGTGGGCTTTGCTGGAATGTGTTGCACTTCCACGTGCACCTATATTATCACAAAAAACTAGCTGGTAAGAATCCTACTCATGGACAATAGGGAAGATGATAGTGAATATTCAGCTTTTGGCCTGTGTGACTGTCATTGCTGATTATGTGAAACTTGATGGGAGTCTTGCAGACTTGCAAACCCGGCAAGTGGGCTTGAAGAGATGGGATAGTGAAGTTGAACCTAAAGAGAATCAGAAAGAAATGCAACCCCAAACTTTTGGGGGAAGAAGAGTGCATGTGGAGTGGGTGTTGGTCAGACTTCATTCTTCCCTGTTTTGGGGATCCATGGTCCTGGTATGCTGGTTTGCCAACACCTCGGTCACCTGGCCTTTCTAGTTCCCTTTTTAAAGTACCTTTGTAGTCCAAATGCCTTGTCTCCCTCATTATTATTTCGAAGAGAGAAAACTGTACCTTTTAATTTCTAAATCCTTTGAAAAGATGTAACCACTTCTGTCCAGCTCCTGTTACATACCCTGTCATGGGATGGACAAGCACTACACACCACTGTACTGTCATTTTTGCCCGGACATTTTCAGAGTACAATGACTGACATGATCTTTTGGATGCTGTCCATAAGGCATAGCAGGAGCATGCAGCAAAGCTCCTGAAGGTAGGAGGGAGAGTGCTTTTGCCTTTCTAAATATGCCTTCACTTAGAAAACTTATTGGGAAGAACTGAGTGTAAAAACCTATTTTGGACACTAATGGGTCAATGAAACATGTCATTGTTGTGCTGAACTCTTTTCCTTTGTGTCCTTACATGAGGTGGGCATCTCTGTGGGAGAGATTACCCTTGTCTGCATCATCCAGGTATAAACCTCTACAGCCTGCTCCCCTGTCCGCATTGGAGTAGCATGACTAGCTCTTAGCTCCCTCTCTGCCTCTAAAATTGCCTCCCCAAGAAAGTGACACTCTTCAGTATGAAATTACTGAAGGTGCCCCATCTACCTGTCTTGAAAAAAATAATCAATAGACATAAGACATAATAAGGTAACGATAATATTTTTTTTGGTTATTACCACAGTGATGTGGCTTTAAAAAGGTGTGGAGTCAGTGCTTTTCTGTGTTTCTATAGCTAAGCCTCCCTCCTCTGCGAGGACAATGAAGCTGGGGCACCCTCCAGTTGGTACAGCCAAGGAACAAACATCTGATCAGCATGTGTGCCCTCAGGCTTGCCACCAAAGAGAAAAATGGACTTGCTTAGAATTTTTTTAAGTGTAATTTTTCTCTATGCATGTGCTCACAGGTTACAGAAAGTCAAGACACAGATGCATTTTACACTTTATAGAAAGCTTTGAGAGGACTCGAAGTTCCTCTGTGAGTTCACTTCAGCTCCTATAAAGCTTTGCTTTTCCAATAGAAAGTTGGCGGTTCCAGAAAAGGAAATTCTGAGCCGAATTTTCACTTCCAGTGCGTGTCAGATGTATATCAAATAATGAGCCTGAGACATTATTATTAGTGTAGGTTTTCCCAGGATTGTTATTTCCCAAACAGCACTGACTACTAATGTAGGACTGGAGGGGGCAACAGAGGCCATAAAACGTAACAAGTTTCTTCCCTTTCAACTGCCTTGCAAAAATAGCTCTTTATCTGGAGTAAAACAGCTATCTTCTGACCGAACAATTTTTTTTTTAAGGGTTCCTTCCAGAAAGGTTTTTTTTTTTTTTCTTTCTTCTTTTTCATCTTGCAAGCAAGTGTTTAGGGTAACAAACTCCTGGGTGCAGGAACAGGAACCCTGCAACCTGCAGGGCAGGTCCTACGACCAAAGCACCCAGCGACTGCCATCCCGGACAGAGGACCTACATGCTGTTAGGTTAAAGTCACTTCTGCCTACATGTGTGCTTCAGGAATAAGTCCTGCTTGCTTGATGATCCCATTGCCCTGCTTCC